TCAAACTTATAGAGTTCGTGTAAATAATAAACATACTCGAGATAGTTTGGAATTTGTCTTTGTATAATTAAAAGCGTAGTATGGGCTACTCATACGTAAGCAAGATACAAAACACGTAGAAGACCAAATGATTAGTTATGGTCTACCTTTGTTTGGGTATTTATCATAGATATATTTCATTAGATTTATAAAGAAAAATGATTATGATGAGGATTATCGAGAAATCTTGATTAAGAAGCGAGTTTCCAGGTGATTGTGTTTGAGGACTACTTAATTACTATTAGTATAGTTTTTTAAAAATTTGTTCTCTTCTGTGATTAGTTGATCGCTGGCTTGGTGGGTTTTCGTTTTTTTTTCCTCGAGTTTTGATTCTCTTTTAACTTATGTTAGGTCTCATATTCCCAGTGACAGATAGACAAGCTTTTAGAGCATGATTATAGATAGTAAATATAAATAAATATAGTGGATTTTTATGTATTAAATCCATTTAATTAAATTAAAACTCATATTACTTCATATTTAGATTTCTAAATATAGCATATATATTACTTCATATTTGGATAATTATACATCTCTTTCTCTTCTTTTTCTCTTCATCAATCCTAATACAATTAATATTATAAAATTCATATATTATCCCAGCATATTTTACTACCTATAATCATAATCATGCTCTTAGAGTTAGAATACAGCACCAAAATATTTAAACTTGCGTTTTGCGAACGTCACATGTAAACTAGGGTGCAACAGTAACATTTTGGTAGTGTTTCAGATATCAAACTTGCGTTTTGTGAATGTGCAGCGCGTTCCATGTGCGGGACGAAACATTTTCATAAAATGCTCCCATTCATGATGATTTTTACAAAACACAATATTTAGAACGCACTTACAATCAAACAATTAAATAATATTAATTTTTGGGGTTGTGACATGCGTTTCAACCGCACCAAATAAGGTGTGTGTAGTTGATGTTTTATTTTTTTAATTATTTTTTAATTCAGTTTTTTTTTTTTAAATTGTGCATAGTTAGTTAATGAATCAATATAGTTTTAATTTTTTTAAAATTATTTCCATTTTAAAATATTAAAAATTAGTTATAGTAGTTGAATAATTATTTTATTCCGCACTATATATTTTTAACCATTCAAACATTGTTCCGCACCGCCCGCAGAACACATTTCTTTTACCCGCACCGCATTTGAATCGCACAACACCTCATAAAACGCTTTTCCCGCACCACCCAAAACGATGTTTCCATTCGAAGCCTATAGAAATTATTTTGGTAAGAGTTCTTTGATTTGAAATGCTGATACATGATTATGTTTCCATTAACCATAACATCATAAAAACTAGGGTGCAACCGTGCATTTCACACGTATTCAAATGTTAATACACCATTAATTAGTACTATTAGTACTATTGTATTGTTGGTGTTGGTCCAAACTTATAAGAGAAATTTTTTAAAATGTCGTTTTTCAAGTACCACGTTACAAAAATGCCATATTTTTGAAATCTTTATAAAAATGCCACTTTTTCAAA